TTGTAGTAACCCAGGAAAGATGTATAAAAGAGCTCGGGAACAGAATGGTAAATATTATCTTGTTGGTCTATGAATCCACCCTTAAAAAACACTATTCTAGTGAGATCTTAAATATTTGACTTGCATGGTGGTTTTATTATTTATTAGAAGACTTAATGGAACCTATTGCTTAGATTGGTATACCCCTCCCAGAACAAGCTGGGAAAGTCTCCAGGATGCCAGCCAGGGCACTGGGGAGAGTTTCCAAGGACTTTGGCCTCTGCTACTCCCGCCCTTCTTGGAAAAGGATGCAAAGTGTAGCTTCCTTCCCTAGATCCAGGCCATATGCTCCATTAACCATGGTAGGCATCTCGCCTAGTTTACTTTAGTAAACCTGGTGATGCTCCCTGATTTCCCTTGGAGGGCCCAGTGGGCAGGCCAGGGCTGGTAGGACCTTGAGCTTCCCCTCTACTTGACCTGGGAGCTATTTGATGAAAGTTTGCCCATACTATTAGTGCTGGCTTAGGAAGCTTGGCTTTCTTGCCATTGTAATGGGTGTTGCAACTCCTGGTGTCTGTGGGTCAGGCCAACAACAGCAGAGTAGAGTTGCTGTGGATTTTGAGGACGTTATGGGGAGATGACATTTTTGGAAAGAATAATTGATTTAAAGTTATTGCTTTTTTTCTTAAAGGCGGGGGTGGTTAGAGTGATGGTAATGGCAGGCCAAAAAGAAAGGAATAAAAGTCATATTTTTCCTAAAATCTATATTTACATTTAATGTCTCACTATCCATATATATGCATATACACATATATTCTTCATTGAACCTCTTTCCATGGGTTAAATAGAATTTAAATAATTTATAAATAGAATTTACAATAATATAATTTATAATAGAATTTAAATAGTTTATAGATAGACTTTCATTAAGCCTTATGTAGATTTGTTCACTTTTTAATTTCTGAAGAGAAATAGTACTTTGAGTTTCCTGTTACACTTTTGAACCATTTGGTTTATGCTGTATCGTTCCTTACATCTTCTGGGAGAGTTTCCCAGGAAGTTTTATGTTTGGAATATTGGGATGATTTTCAAATGCATCTGAGAGAAACAACACTGGGCCCTCCCCCTCTATTGCCTCACCCATGTGTCACCAGGAACAACATCAGTGTTGGGGGTGGATTGTTGCTCCTTATGACCACTGTACCCACAGAAAAGGAGTGGGAGAGAAAATACCCATGTGATGGACCAAATTCTTTCACCCCCTGCCTTGGGCTGCCTTTTCTAGGAGCCAACTTTCCCCCTTGGAGATGCTTAATTTTAATTGACTCAGAGGAGGTCTACTTTGTATTTTGAAAACACACAGAAATGGGAAGTTAGAGTTCTACTCCCTACCCTCCCCCATCTCAAACAGAGTTACACAAATCCAACATATTCAACACAAATCCAACATATTCAACAATCCTAAGACAAAATCTTGGGCTGGCACCAGGGTAAGGTTTGTGACAGGTGCTACATTTCCAGTAGGTTCCTTATCAGTTAAGTAAGTCCTACCCACATAGAATGGAATTGTGTTGCAAACTTTGTGAGTACGCAGGGGGGATGTTCATCTAAATTGGATTTTTTTTCCCCATTCATAAGTGATTTCCAGGTAATTCAAAGTGGTCACACTTGTGGGGAGGACAGAGAAGCAGGGACGGATTCCATGGCTCTGAAATGTTTCTGCTCTTGCGAGAGGATAGGATGCTTTCTCCCTGGGTCTCAATAGTGTTTTCCTGTCAATGGGTTCCATTTGTCATTTGCTGCTTTCCACGTCTTTGTGTTTCATAGCCCATGGAATCTTGGCTTCAGAGAAATAAATGGACCCAAGAGAGGATTATATTTTAAGAAACGGAATGATGATCAGTCACATTTTAAGTTAATAATAAAATCTGAATGCAATTGGCCAAATCCTCCCAGCAGGGAGTGTGTGTAATCCAACCTCAGGCTAATGTGAGAGTTTGGCATTTCTATGGCATAGAGGAGGCCACCCTCATACAGCCTAGGAGGGACCCTCTTGGGACCATGTGGCTAAGAGAAGATTAAACACTGGGGAAATTCTGTGAACAGAGAGGGCAGATGAGCTGTGAAGGTGGAGATGGAATTGAAAAGTTGCACGTAGAGTTTTATGAGCTGTGGAAGGTCAGAGAGCACATCTTTCCTGCCTTAAAAAGTGGTGTTCAGTCCTTCGCTAGCTGTGCGCTGCCTTTCTTTCGTCTTCTTTCATAACCAAGGCTTTGAGAATGTGTCTTACTGGTCTTACTTCGTCGCCTCCCATCTCTCCCTAATCTACTTCTGTTGAGCTTCTCACTCTCTTCACAAACTGCAGGCTTCAAGATTATTGATGACTTCCTTGTTGGAAAAGGCAAAACAACAGAAGATTTACAGTTGTTTTATTTAACCTTTCTCCATCATTTGACTTACTTTAGTTTCTGTGACACTGCTCTCGTGGTTTTTTTTGGTTTGTTTTTAATCTTCTGTTTCTGGTTGTTCTGTCGTAATCTGTCTTGTTGCTCCATGCATAGGGTTCCTTCCACAGCCTTCCTTTTCCTGTTTTACCTCCACTCTCTAGGGAATCTCATATATTTTCATAGCTTCAAATGTGATCCATGTGTTAACAGTATCTTAAATCTGTATTATTAGTCCAGTTGTCTTTCCTAAGTGGCAGACACTGTACATCTTTATGTCTTTTTTTTCCCCTGAATGTTTATCTTTATGGAGACAATCAATGTGAATTTGCAGTCAACGTACCCAACTACCGACGCTTGTCTTTCTTCCCCTTCTTTCCTTTTATTCCTTTCTTTTTTAAAAAAATAGCATCATGAAACCTTGAAGCATCCAAAACAGAAACTTTCATATCTTCTTTGTTATTAGCTTCTTAGTCGCGCTGCTTCTAGAATTTTCCCCTATATGTTCTCTTCATACAATGGTGAGATTTGATTGTAAAAGTAATTCAGATCATACCAGCCCTTGCTTATGATTTTTAGTACCCTTTGTCACAAGTATGAGAAAATCCAAACGCGGGAGCAGGGCCTGCAGAACCCTGCCTGTTATGGCCTCCTGATCTACACTGTCCTCGACACTCACCCTTTCATTCACTCTGTTCCAGGCACTGGACTTTCTTCCCAACCTTCACCCACGTTAAGCCTTTTGCTCTTTTGCTGCTTAGAATTCTCCAACTCTAGATTTTTGCCTTTTCCTATGGTTGGTTCCAATGTCAAATAGGTCTCTGCCGATCCTCCTAGTGAATTCAATGTCTGTCTGTATTGCTATTTTCTATTATACACTGGAGTTTCATGATCTGCTAATACCTTTTTTTTTTGTTTAGATTTTCATTATCACCCATTCTAGATTGATTTTTATAATAGCAGAGATTTTATTTATTGTTATATCTTGGTTGCTGAAAACAGTGTCTGCCTTATAGTAAGCAACTGATAAGTATTTTTCAATGGAAAAGAAGAATGTCTGAATCCCAAGTGTCAGCCACACTGGTTGCAGTTACCTGAATTACAAGATAGAACAATCCTCTTCCTCTGCCTGCAAAGCTCTTCTTCCTCTTCTGCTCAGCTCCTGCTTACTGTCAGTACTGGGTTCTGTCATCTCCACTTTGATCTTATGAGCTTAAGGGTTAATACCTCCAATCTCTGTAACCCATATGTAATTAGCATGCCATTTTGTTTGTCTGTGTATCTGAATCTCCCATTAGACTGCCTTCTAGCAGAGATATTTGATTTGAAACCTCAGTTTGTAAAGACACACTCTTGAAACTCTATTTAAATATTTTGTTGAATTGGTTGGTAAATCATAGACATCTCTGGTAATGCAAATTAGCTGTTTCCCAAGTTCTACCACTTGCCAAACAGGAGCACATACAAGTTCGCTTATAGGAAAGGCTCATATTGCTGTTAAAGGTTGCATGTTAAGATAATCACATTAAATATTATCCCTATAATATATTGTCTATTACATTTCATGTGGCTTTCAATTAGGTTGTCTTATTTACAAGTAACTCTTCGTGGTGTAGAAATTTTGATTCTTATTTTACATATTTGGAAACTAAAACTCAGATGTAGTAATCTGTTCAAGCACACACAGCTAGTGGAACAAAACTGAGATTTGAATACAGGTCTCTTATTTGTAAGCACAAGTTCTTTCTGCTGCACCATGCTGCCCCCTATGGGTCAAACCTACAAATTAGTACTGTTCGTCACAAATATTATTATGGAGATTATATTATTGGAGTGCTTTTAAGCTGTACAATTAAGAAAGATACGTTAGGCATTATTTTATGCTCCAGGGAAGAGTATATTATGCAGTTTTACCTATATTTAGAATGTGCTTTCTATGCCTATAAGAACAAAGATATTTTGTGGAAATTTGTGTTGCTCTAAGTCATGTTTTTGCTAATAGCATTTGCCACATAAACTCAGCCTTAATTCCTGAGGGAGGAGGTACCTTGCTAGTCATTTCCTTTAGCTTATCTCTTGGTTCATCCTAGCCATGATTTGGCTTCAGTTTCAGGACTCCAGTTGATCCAAGAGTTTTCTCCTCCTCACTTCCCACTCAAGAACTTTAGTGTTACTTGGATGGGAGGTCTACCCTCAACTCTTATCTCAGAAGGAACCTGCTTCCTGCCTCATTCTTGTCAGAGGCTAGGCTGATGAGGTCCTTACCTGGCACTGCAGCAGTCCCTGTTCTGAATTTCTGAATCCCCATGTGTGCTCTTTGTTCTTTCTTATCTTGGAAGTGTGGACCAGAACTGGACTAATCTTTCCTACCCCTAATGGAGCTGATCTCAGGTTATCACCCTAGTTTCCTACCCTTCCATTGTTCTTGTTTTTTCTTCTATGCTTTTAGACTCTTACCCTTGAACAGTGTTTTCTGCCACTCGCTAAAACCAGAGCCTCAACATAAAGAACCTTATCAGTGAAGACAGGACCAAGAACCTGTGACCAAACCAAAGAACTTTGGATCTTACTGCTTACCACTCACTGTCTTTCTTCTGTGCGTCTCTGGGGATGGGGATGTTGATGGAAGACAGTCTATATGTGATGACGTGGAGCTGATCTTCTTTAGATTCTGCTCTTTGGAGGGGTCTATGAGTTTAGTGATGGGCAAGCCAGAGACTGGTTGCTTGTATCTTGCAAACTGCAGAGCATCCATGATCCATCTCATTTCACGCCAGACTTCATCTATTTGCTTTGGAATAAAATGGTGAAAGACTTTAAGTTACCAAACATCTATGAGAAGGAATATGTTTTCCTGAGAATTCAAGATGAACCAATAATTATTGGTTTTGGGTGAAAGTCAGATACTGTCTATACAGGTTTGCTAAACTAGGAAATAGCTTTTTGTGAATCTCTTATGTTTGGCATTTTTTTTTAAACTTTAAAAAAATTTTATTTTTTATTTTATGTGTATGCATGTATTGCCCGCATGTAGGTAAGTGCACTCATGTTGTGCAGTGCCCACGGAAGTCAGAAGAGGCTGTCGGATCCTCTGGGACTGGAGTTATGGATAGTTGTTAGCTGCCATGTGGTTGCTGGGATTTGAACCCAGGTCTTCTGCAAGAACAACCAGTGTTCTTAACCTCTGGGCCATATCTCCAGCCCCACATTTGGCATATTTTTATCTGAGAACTCATGTCATTTAGTGGAAATAGTGGAAGAACTAGATTCTGTTTGGCTCTACTATAACCTTCAGTAAGCCACTTGACCTTGTTGAACCTTGTTTGTTTTATTTGTAAATGCCTTCCCTTTTATACCTCATAGGTGGCTGGGATGCCTGAGTTTGATGATGAACTTGAAAGTGTTCTGTGAAACTGTAGACCACTTTGCTAACATCTATCAAGTGGTACTATCTCTCAGTATGTAATGAAGTATTTCTCATTGGGATTCGGAAGGAAGGTGCTAGGTTGAAGTCTGAATTTCAGAATACTTATGCTTATATTAAGAGAAAGACCAAAGTTTATATATTAACCTGACTCTTTTTGTATACATAAAGCAAATGCTTCTAAAGAACAAAGCAGTTTTTAAAAGCTTATTGTTAGGAAATTTAGGGGCTTCAGCCCATCTCTTCAGAGATGGCTCAGCAGTGAAGAGCACTGTCTACTCTTGCAGAGGACCCAGGTTCAAATCCCAGCACCCACATGGTGGCTAACAACCATCTATAACTGCAGTTCTAGGAAATCCGATACCCTCTTCTGACCTTTGTGGACATTATATGACACAGATGCATTTATATACATATAGGCAATACATGCATACACAGAAAAGTAAAAATAATAAAATATTTTTAAGACATTTAAACACACAGATGCTATTAGGGTAGCATATTTTAGACTGTTACCATTTTTATTTCTGGGTTACTTTAGTGATTTTAATGATATTTTCCATTAGGAAGCACAATAGTAGTTTCTATTGCTATAAAAGTCACTCATGTTTCTGTGTCTCCCTATAGATGACAGATGTTCTTCAGATCCTGATACACAGTGACCATGAGCTTTCTGCTTGTTCTGTCTCCCAAGAAGGGGCTGCTAGTTTCAGTTTCTTGGGAACCTGAAACCTGTGGTTGGCTTTACCAATTTCTCTGGGTACCTTGGCAAAGCATTAACTTTTCCAGATTTGTTTCTTAGCCCCCAAATTGAGGAAGTTTAACTAGCTGATGTCTAAGGTGACTTCCAGCTCTGATATGATTTGTTTTTGAAGAACATTTAGAAAGTTGGTGTCACTCTACACATGTTCACTGTATGAATAATGCCAGATTAAGGTGCACCTGATGAGAGAGGTTTTAAAGATTAGGTACTATCCAGTGTTATGTATTTTCAAGTTTTCTTCTTAGGTCCTTAATCTATAGTTAAGTCTACTCTTTACAGAGTATCACAAGCCTGGTACTCAAACACAGAATAGGGTCTCAGACCCTATTCACTGTCACATTCAGTGTGACAAGTGGGCTAGAATGAACTAGTGAGTGGGACAGTGTGGTTGGTGGCTATTTTTTCTTGTTTTCTAGTTCTGTGCTGTCCTGGTGTAACAGGATTTGGCAGAGTATTCAGGCAGGGCTGGTGTTGAAAGCATGAGATTGAGGCCCAGGATTTGTTCACTCCCTTAGGGCAGGAAGTTCAGGCCCATGCGGAGGCACTAAGCCATTTTAAAGGGAAAAGTTGAAGGAATCTGAAGTTCATGAGGTAAAGCCAAACTGGGAATCCCAGATGAGACTAGCATGAATTTTCCTGATGAAATTGCTGTTTTCTTAGCTGACTCGTACAGCCATGTCACATGTAGCATACATCCCTCACAAAGTTATTTTAAAAGTACCACACGATTGTGGATAGCTTTTAGAGTATCTGTCAAGGATGGGGCCTATGCTTTTGTATCTTCTGTAGAGTAGATACTCAGATGATGATAGTTCAGTGAATGAATATGATGATTACATAGTTCTTCAGATGTCGATTCTCCAAGCTATTGTAAGGATTAAGGGAAGGAGGATGAACACACTTCGTTATAAAGTTTTTAGTATGTCATGGTGCCAATCATTATTATAGTGGGCTGTATGTGAACACTTAAAAGATTTGTCTATATCTTAATCCACAGAACCTGTGAATATTACCTTTTATGATAAAAAAGTAGGTATTACCTTTTTGTGACAAAGATGTGAATGTTAAGGATTCTAGTAATATGTTTTTCCTGGATTATCTGAGTGGACCCTATTTCCAATGACAAACGTCCTCATAAGGACTTTCACACAAGGGTGAGGCAGGTGGAGACTTGGTAGAAGAGAAAAGGCAGAGCGACTAGAGCGGCAGAGGTAGCTGTGAGTCAAGGAGTGCCAGCATCCCCCAGATGCCAGAGGAGGCAGCGAATGCCCCCCCTGGAGCCTTCGAGGGTGTGTGGCTCTGCCAACATGCGACTTTCAAACTTCTGGTCTCCAAAGCCAAGAATAAAATTCCGTTGTCTTAAGGCATCCACTTTGTGGTAACTTGTTGGAAACTTATATGATTATAATCCACCTGTTCGCTTGATAAAAATGTTTTAGCTTCTTGCCAAGCATGGATAGAGTCGTCTAGAAGCAAAATTTGCTTCTTAATTTTCTCAGTGATGAGGTGGAGAGGTCGTAACTGAAGAAAACGAAAATCCCCATAGGTACAGGGAAGCCTGTGCGTTGAGTTTAGTGCGACCTTACTAAGTAGCCCCAAAGAAGTACAATTTCCACTCATTTCACCTTATACTGTTGATCTAGAAGTAACTGACAGCATAATCCCCATGATTTTAAGGTCCAAATTCAGCTTCTGAAGACTTGCTGACATGGTTTTAAACCGAGTGGCTGTGAACTCCCTAGGTCTGTTGATTAAAAGTTTGGCATCCATTTCTCACCCTGCTCTTTAAAAATTTCAGTTTTCATCCCCATAAATTATACCCCTTTCTCTGTACTCAGGCAAGATAATATTTTTATTAAAATGTAAAGGTGATTGGTTTTCTCATAGCACAGCCACAAGGTGCTTGAGGGGATGATAGATTGGCTATATTTAATGAGCTGTGTTTCTATTACAGCTTAGGAGCATTTGAAGCATTGCAGTATATAAATTATGGCCTAATTGCCTAGTAGGCTTTAACAGCTCAATGTATGCTAAGCCTCGGGTCTTCATACTTGGACATTTCTTTTTCTTTCTCTCCTCTTCTTTCCTCACTTACTTTGACATTTCCACTGTATGCGCTGTCTGTAAGCCTGTGTACCTTATCTGTAATTTTTCTATGCCTTCTCTGGTCCAGGCCTCCCCTTTCTGGCTGCATTCCTTGGCTTCCTTTCCTAGCTGTATTTACATAGACTCTTCTGCCCTTTACAGTGTTTGGTTTGTGTAGTGACTTCAACACCATCTTAGATCTGGATGCAACTGACAGATGCCTCTGCAGGTTATGGTGTGTGGTGGGCTGAGGCTGTGAACACCAGTGGGTGAGTGGGAGCAGCTGATTTTCACTTGGCGGGGGGGCGTTACAGAGGCAGAGACAGAGATGGAGAGTGACGGAGACCAAGAAGTCAGCATAGGCAAGGGGAGGCAGAGCATGGAGTCATCTCTAGGCAGTGAGGTTATCCATGTTGGATGCAGCAGGGTGGTACACTGAAGGTGTGGCTGGAGGTAGATGATCTGAAATTACCCTGCTCAAGAAGTTACTTTGGACACTTTGGGAATTGGCTTTTATCCAAGTCTGTGTGTACTTGGCTGGCTAGAAAGAGAACATAGGGGCTCTCAGGTTACTTGCTCCAGAGCAGGCAAGAATGTTGAAAAATTCTTGGCCTGGCCTGCCATTATCCACCCCATTTAAAGGTGTTATCAGAAGTAAAGAGAAAAAAGAAAAAAAAAGAAAAAAAAAAAAAGCAGTGGGGCTCGAGGCTGAGCGAGAAAGAGAGGAGCAAGGATAGCAGAAAGTGAGAATGGAGCCAGGGGTCCTGGAAGGTTCAAGACTAAAGAAAAGCAGTCCTCACTGAATGAGTGAGATCAGGGAGGCTTGAGTGGAATCAGGGAGAAACAACCCAAGGCATAGTTAGTGAAGTGTTTCTTTGAAATCTTTCAGACTGTTAGATCCTAGAATGTTAGAGCTGACTAGGGCCCGAGAAGCCGTCAAGTCCAGTGCTTCCATTGCATATATGAGAAACCCTCCCACCGTCTCCAGAGCAAATGAAATGTCTGCTCCAGAGGTTAGCACCAAATGACTTAGAACTAAAATGTGTGCTCCTTGACTTCTGGTTAATCATCACTGTTGTTATTATTGAGACACTGCCTCTCTATGTGGCCCAGATTGGGCTTGGACTCTGTGTAGCCTGGCTAAGCCTCAAACTCCTCTCAGTTCTCCTGTGTCAGCTGCTCCAGTTCTAGGTTACAAGTGTGTCAACATGCCTGGCTTCGTTGTTACTCTTAATGAGTTCCATTGGCCCTTGCATTGGGCTGGAAAGATAAGTAGGGGAGTGGAGAGATGGCTCAGTGGGTAAGAGTACTTGCTGTGCAAGCATGAGGACCTGAGTTTGGATCCCAGTAGTCACATTAAAACTTGGGGTAGCTATGTGCACTCTCCAGTAATCTCAGTGCTGTGGGGAGCTGAGACAGGAGGATTGCTGGGCTTACTGGCTGCCAGCCTAGCTGAAAAATGGAAAATTCCAGGTTCAGTGAGAGGCCCTGTCTTAAAGGAGTAAAGCAGAGCGTGATAGAGTGGGACACCCAGCGTCCGCCTTCAGTCCCTTGACCTCCACATGCACAGGCATACATGCCCCCCCCCACAGGTGTGCATATACCACACACACGCACCTCCCCCATGCACATACAGAAGAAAAGTAGTCTCTGCGTTCTTCCTTTTCCTACCCTTCCTGCTGTCTGTGTTCTTTCTTTACTAGAAATGAAGTAAATGGAGTAAATGTTCTATAATTTTAAATATTATAATCTCGGGTCAAGAGAGAAAGTAACTTCTTGAAAAGATACTTCCTTAGTTTAAGGGGTCGCCTTCACTGATGGGACTAATGCTACTACTTAGTAACATTTTCTTCCTAAATACTACAAAATCCTCAACATTGACATATTTATACTTCAAAGAATTTTTCTTGTTTGTTTGTTTGAGAGAATTTCATGTAGCCCAGACCCAGACTGGCCTTGAACTCACTATGTGGCTAAGGGTGACCTTGAACTTCTGATCCTCCCCATGTCTACCTCCCAACTACTGGGATTACAGGCATGTGTCACTCTGCCCAGCCTTGAACTTCTTATTAATGATTCTTATTAATGAAGGGATGAATACACCAGTTACTGTGTAGTTTTTATGTGCAAGGCACTTTGCTGAGTGCTTTATATGCATTCTTTCACTAAATACTAAATTCTTAGTGAAACACTAAGATGTGGTACTATTACCATCACTATTTTTCACATATTATTGGGACAAAAATATGTGTGTGTGTGTGCGTGTGTGTGTGTATACATATGTGCATATGCATGTGTGTGTGAGGAGACCAGAGGACAACCTCAGGTATTGTTCCTCAGGAGTGCTGTCCACTTTGTTTTTCAACATGAGGTCTCTCATTGTCCTGGAGTTAGCCAGGTAGGGTAGGCTGGCCAGCCAGTGAACACCAGGGAACCACCAATCCCTGCATCTCTAGCAGTGGGATTACCAGAGTGTGCCCCACACCTGCTTTTTCATGTGGATTCTTTTCAGGTCCTTGTGCTTTCCACGCAAGGGACTTATTTATTGGGCCTAAAGTTCACAATGTTTCCTCGTATCATGTGTTTACTCCCACTTATCTAGATAGTGATTAGAGCTTCTTATTTGGTCTGGTTTCCTTTCCTTTTGTCTTCTTAAATTCAGGAGTGACAGTCTTAAGTGGGATAATTATAGCACACCTTCTCCTTCCAAGGCTCTTAAGATTATTGTGGAAGAGGGGGCAGAAACAGTGTAAGAGGCAGAGGTGGTGGATGAACACAAGGAAACCATGTTGTCTGGACAAACGGGACAGTCACACACATGGACCCACAGTGCTTACGACAGCATGCACAAGATCTGCTTTAAGCCCCAGCCAGATGAAATCCCAGCATGGATGTGGAAGGTGGGCAAGAGGCCCCAGACCTAGCTGAGGAACTACTGACAACCGATAGTTGCTGGGAGATGGAGTCAGTTTTCTTTAAAGGTGCGATGCCAGGTAGGTTGACTAGGCTCCAGGGCCTGGGCCCACAGCCAAGAGCATTTGGGGAACACAAATGAGACTCACTGGGTCTTTAAAAGAAGCAATAATAATAGAGGGCATGAAGTCAGGGCTGGGTAATAAAATGGGAGGGAGTGTGAATTTGATCAAAATACATTGTATGAAATTCTTAAAGAATCAATAAAAATGTTTTCAAAAAATTCAGGAGTGATATGCAAATTATTTAGAGAGTAAGACCAATCAGAGTAAATGCTTACAGTAGGCCGTGATAATTCCTGTGAGAAGAACATCCCCTCTGCTTGATCTGACCTAATGGAGCGTGGGAAACTATTACTTTCTCTAAAGTTCAGGCATAATTATAGACAAGTGTGAATTCCTTACCTTAGCACAGCCTTTCATATAGTCCTCCAGATCTGTCCTCACTGTCTTTCAATCTTGCCCATTTCTCACTGTTCTCCAATACTCAGTTTATGCCCCAACCAACCCACTGCTGTTTATCCTTCTTCAAATTCTACTTTCCCTATTTGCCTCATCTGCTTATGTTTTCTCTCTGAATGCTCTGTGTTCGGTTTCTGCTTCGTGCTTAGTATAACCTGTCCCTACCAGGCCACCTCAGACATCATCAAGATCTTCCATGGCAATTTTTCTGATACCGACAAGTGAAAGTTAGTGTTCACTTCTTTGTGTTGACACAGAACCCTTCTTTTTTTGTACTTCTCCTCAAACAAGTAATATTTACAGACGTTTCTTATCTACCTTAGTGAATTTTAAACTGTTTAAGTTTATGTCTATTCCAACTTTGTGCCTCTCATACAGTGCTTGATATTTAATAAATATTTCTAAAAATGGATGGAATGCATGTCATGATGATATTTATCATGGGGCTATTGCTATTATACTTATTTTGTGAATTAGGTAACTGATGCCAGAAAGATGAAAAGATTTGTGTGTAGCATTTAGAGGCAATTTCAGGCCAGATCCAAATTTTCTTGACTACTAGTTAGTAGCCTCATCATGAAACCCTGAAGTGTTACCACCAAGCCTTTGTAGGCAAGACCATGGACAGGAACATATTTTTCATATTTTCTTTTTTGTTACAGAGTCGCGCTTGCACACACACACACACACACATACTTTCTTTAAAGATAAGGTTTTACTTTGTAGCTCAGGCTGGCCTGGAACTTGCTGTGTGCCTGGGCTAGCCTTGAACTTACAATCCTTCTGCTTCCACCTTCCCAGTGTTCACATTACAAGAATGCACCATCACGCTAGGGCAGGAATACATTTTCTTATAGCAGTAACTATGCATTAAAGTGTCAGCTCCATCAGAAAGAAGTCTAAAGCACCAATGATGTAATAGGATTTGGGTTAGCATAAACTTGTAGGTCATTTTCTTTTTCTTGAGATACTGGGAAAATTGATTTTTTTTTAAGCTGTTGGAATTATCATTGGCATACTGGGTAAGAACCACATTCAGGGAAGTGGGTAAGAAGCCCCAACCTTAGCTGAGGAGCTACTGGCAACTGATAACTACTGGGAGAGGGAGAGTTGGTTTTCTTTAAGGGTGTTTAAGGGTGTGATGCTAGATAGATTGACCAGGCTCTAGTGGATGGATGCACACCAATGGACATTTGGGGACACAAACGTGACTCAATAGGCCTTAATATATATGACAGAGTACATGAAATCCAGGGGTATAAGAGGGCTATAGATAGGGGAGGGGGTCTAAATATGATCAAAATATTTGTATGAAATCCTCACAAATTCAGTAAAAAGTATTTGGATCATTACTTCCTGGGGAAAGCCACTGTTGCCTACCACAGTAACTGATAGAGTTCTTAGGAATAGTGTGATTTATCTGTAAATCCATTTTTTCATCCTTTGCAAACTCAGAAGTCCCTGAGCACCATGTTTCAGCCCAGACCACTGGGCTCTCTGCACAGAGTGCTCTCTGAATTGGCTCTGGTTGCTGTTCTTTCCCTTGCTTGGTTCTCCGCCTTCCCCTGCCTTTTCCTTCCATTACCCGAGGAGCAGTGGACTGTTACCTGAACGAAGTCTAACACTTGCTGGTGTCTTTGTTTGGCAGCTGCAACCTCGCTGTCTGAGATTGCTTCCCTCAGGGACTGTTGGGTATTCAGAGAATCCAGCTCCACAACGGCAGAAAGGCGGCAATACAGACTAATAAATTTCTCTCTGTAGCTGCAAAAATGAACTAGAAAATGGACAAGCAAAATAAAACATGTTAAGATCTGGTATCAAAATAGAGAAATTCACATAGCAGAGAAAAGCAGTTGAATGGAAACTGATTTATTAATCCTATCAGTGGAAAATATTAAGTCATAAATAAATTATAGATGTGTTCTTAAGGGGCCAGTTGTCTGGCTTTAGTCTGACAGTATTCCCTTTTAGGTTTACCAGTTCCTCAGAAGGTATGAGGAAGCAGGCTGGCTCAAGCTGCAGTTTAGATAGACTTCCCTAAAGTTGGGGCTTTTTCATATGTCGTCATGTGCCACATAACAATGTTTCAATGATGGCTTCATTTGCAATGGCAGTCCAGTAAGACTACATCACTTAATGACATCATAGCCATCTACATTTGTACAAATACAGCATGTGATGTTTACAAATGACAAAATTGTCTGGTACAATTTTCAGGCAATTTTCCCTTTTGCTAAGCATACTTTATTGTGTGTATATGGCTACACACACACACACACACACACACACACACACACACACACACACGGGCGGGGGGGGAAGAAAGAGAGGACAACTGGGAAAATAAACTTTCACTTTAAAGGAAAAAAGCAAGTATCATTTTGAAACCTAGTTTGATTTTCATGTCTAATTTTCTATTAAGTATCTTGCTTACTCTTTCTTAGAAGACAGGCGACATGCTTTTCTTAGGCTATCTTTTATCTAAATTGAAACTTCTGAGGACCTCTTTTAATGGGCTTTGATTCTTTCCTGTCCCCTTATTACCAACTTTGGAAGGATAATGGTTGCAGATCCTTGAACAGAACCCTTTTGTCTTTAGTAGATTTGGCCTTCCTTTCTCAAAAGATGATGGGACAGAGGTCACAGGAAGAGTCTAAGCAGCATACCCACCATTTGCCCTTTTCCAGGAAAGGCTTAGGGCAGTTTACTGCTCTGGCCAGCTCTGGCCATGTATTATAACTTGGGGTCCCAGGTGGTAGGGAAGGCACCCTGGTACAGGTAGTATAGTCCCAATCTCCTCCTGACCTAGCCTAAAATTTGGAGACTCACTCTTCAGGAACCTCATTTATTTTGTGTACATCAGACTTTTACTATTGGGTTCTATGGTTTGGAACTAGGGCCGTTGTAGGGCCATATCTGTGAGAATATTTTTCTTGCGGTTTTCTGGGTGAGGAAGTCTAGCAAGAACATACAAGTACTACCTTTGCATCCCTTTGCTACTGATTCCCAGTACCTACACCTGGCTGTTTAGGGAAGCTAAACCACAGTACTTCAGAACGGGGTGTCTGGTCATCTCTGCCCTTTAGTGAGGAGATCCTGCTTCTCTGCACATGAATTTTCTTTGCATCTTTCACTTTCCATCCTAGCCTGCTTCCTTACTTGAGATCCTTTTAGGAGAAATCTGAGATGAGGTGAACTGCAGCCTGCTCTGTTTGTCTTCGTTCATATGGAAGAATACTGTCTCGGAAGGTGTGTCTCTGTCCTCAGACCTGGGCCTGAGTTTTCTCTGCTATTAGATCCTTCCTAGCTTTTCTACTCTCCTTGAATTTTCTTGTCTGTCTCAAAGAAGAGCTGGTTTCATACACTATCAGCAAATAACAAACTATTTCACTTTCCCAAACAATAGAATTCTCATGTAATGCCCTTGCTTAAAACTATGGAGATTGCCCTCTTTAGGATGAAAATCTAAACATCTTCTTCCCGTAAGGGGAGGTCTTTATGGTCTATGATTTGATTGTGGGTCTTTAATTATATCTTTTATTATACGACTGCCTTCAACCTGTAGCCTTACATCAGTCTAAGCTTTCGTCAAACTGAACGTAGTCATATGCATTTACACTTCTGTACTTTTAAGTACGCCTTTTCTCATCCTCAAATACCTGTCTTTGTCAATCCCTTCTGGTCTCCTTGTAGAAAGATCCAGCTGAAACCTGTTCTCAGTGACATTTCTCTCTCCATTTGGCCCATAGAGGACTTGTTTCTAGGTATCTGAGGACCTTACCCTGCTCCATTGTTCATGTGTGTTCTTGAATGCTTTGGTATTGGACTATGATTTCTTTAAGGGTGGGAAACCATGTCTTAGTATGTTTTATTTCTCTAAAACCTGAAACACCATATCTTCTCTACTAATTTCAATTGAATGAGTAAAGAAATCAGCTGATCTGCAGAAGGCAGACCCTGGCCCTGGAGACTCCTGCCTTTGTTTCCATGCTCACTTCTGTCACTGTGTGCTGGATTTTCCCATTCGAAAAGGTGTATTTCAGGTCTGTAACATTTACTGTCAGCTCCGCAGATGGCGTCACAGCTACTTGTACCTTACTCTGACCCTTGCAGCTCCCTGAATATGTCTTTTTGCCTTTCAAGAAGGGAGTCTATCTTGTTAGCAGTTGATGGATGGCCTCCTTTGGCTGAGGAGTGAAAAGAGAGAGGAGTTTGACAGCCTGCTTTTCCAAATCAAGTTGTAAACAACAACAAAAGTAAGGCTTTTTTTTTTTCCTCTTTCTAAAATATGAAGGGAGGTTGACTATGTAAAGAAACTGAAAGATCCCTTTGAAAGAAACACTATCAGAACCACTGGAATTCTTAAAGGCCAGGGTGTTCACAGTTTTCTCTTGTGTCTTGTGGTAGGAGCTGTGGATCAGTGGGTGGTCTCCTGCACCCACACCATCCAATGCCATCCATGCCACGCACCGCAAGTGAGTTATGGGGAAGGTTCAACTGTAGCGCTTTTCCCTGCTCTAGTGGTTTCCATTCAGAGCCTTTAATGTCACTTTGACAAATGTTACTTTAACATAGTCTTTTGTGGTTTAGCAATGATACATTTGGCAGCCATCACCAAGGAGGGGAGGATAGACTGGAAGCTTCTAATTTTTGAAAAAAATGTGAATCACATGCATTTTACAGACAAAATGGTATAAGGCAACAATAATGTCATTATGGGGACCACATGATTTGTTAGTAACACACAAATTAAGACTTAATTCTCTGTGGTGTTTTCCCCTGCTTTTTTCCTATATAAGACAGTGACAGACTAAAGTACAGTTGTCATGAGCACTAACAGGCCAGTTCGTGGGTTAAATACCTCGCAGGTCTAAGTTTCAGTCAGCTGTGCCACTTACTACATCACTTGTGTGGTGGTAGGCAGTAACTTCCAAGGATCTCAGTATTATCCCCCAAACAGAGGTAATAATGTCTGCCTAAGATTAACACAATGAACTAACACAGTGTATGTAAAGTACCAAACATGCATATGGTACATACCAGATACAGAGTAAATGTTAGTTCTCACCCACGACCTCAGTCCATTCACTCTCCAGGAAGAATGAGGCATGTATTGATTAGACAGCACATTGGGATTAGAACATGCTAACAATCCCCAATGCTCCAAACTCCTACTCTGTCTGATAACTGTAGTCTAGCTTGGAAGCCAAGGAGTCAACAAGATAGCCTCCTAGGGTGCATTTCGTGCTACAGTTCTTTGCCAAGTTGTCAGAAAGCACCTGGGTCCAAGGTGCCCCACGGATTCCAAGTAGTGAACGAGCTGACACTTGGAATACAGGAGTGGCATCTTAAATCATGAAAAATGGGTACTAGGAATGACGGTTGATGCCGTGCCATTTCCCGCAAGCCTGTGGCCTGGATTCCATTAGGCTCATTGCCTGCATATCCCACAGGCACCTCAAAACTCATCATTTGTCAAACTGAACTCATCCTCCTCCCCTCCCCCAGGCTTCTCCCTCCCCTCATATTTCCTGTTTTGGGAGAAGGCCCTACATCCATCTCAGCACCCCATTCAGACTCTCTGGCTCCTCCATCTTGCCCCTCAGCTGCATCAAATCAATCACAACTTTCATTGATTTTAACTCCTAAATCCCTCTCACCGCTGCTTTCTTCTTTCTACCTCTACTGTGTCTGCCTGGGTTCTGAGTTGTTAGCATTGCCCACCCGGACAGGTGAAAGTCTTACTTGTCTCCCCAGCACCCAGCTTTTCTGTAATCTGTCCTCCTCAGACTGCTAAAATCCAGCAAGTTCACACCATCCCTCTCCTTCACATCTTTTCATCATTCCTCATTACCTATAAGATATAGTCTGACCTCCTCGCAATGGCTGCCCTGATTTTGACCTTTTTCTCTTCAAGCTTCCTCAGAGGGCCTAGCATTCATCCTAATGAGCTACTAAGGGTAGAGCTAACTGGCCTTGCCTTTGTGCATGCTGTTCTCTCTGCTTAAAATGATTCTCATTTTCAACTTTGTCTTTCACTTTCTGAATCTATTTGTCCATCACGATCCAGCTAAATATTACCTCTGAAGGAAAGACCGAGTGTCTTTCTGGAATCCAGTGGCTTCCACTTTGTGGCAGTGCTGCCACTGTATCGAGACCATTGGTAGAAACGCCTGTGTTCTCTCTACACTCTGAGATTCTCGTGGGTAAAGCTTGTGTTGTGAACAAATCTGTAGGTTCAGCCCAGCCCAGTACCTGACATGCAGTGGAAACTAAGCGAATGTTTGTTGAATGAAGGATATGGCTATGCACAGAAGTATAAAACGTATACCAGGCTTCGAAATGAATAATAATAATAATAATAATAATAATAAATAAAAAACAACTTTGGTTTTCTGTCCTTTTAGTCCAATTAGTTAGTATGAATCACAGAGCCAAAGAAATCAATAAAAAGCAACTCTTCCCATTGACTGCCCATAGGGTCAGGGCAAGGTGACCTCCTCAGTTCAGGCTAGGCAAATCCTCAAGAGGCCACATCTTTGGATGGTGTGCTAAGGGCACATGATGCTGCTTTTCCTTTTCTTCTGGGAATTGTGTAAGTGGTGATACAGGCCTCCAGCCATGTGGTTTATTGCCTTGGAGGGGTCTTATCCTGTTCCTACCTAAGGAATGGTGGGCTGTCAGCCCTGAGGCCGTGGAAAGAGGAGGGGTCTTCGATGATTGTTCCACTTTCCCTCAGCTCAACCCTGCTTGTTCAGGGCTCACAAGATCCTCTTATGGGTTTCTCTGAAGCCACAAGCAGCCCTCTGAAATGATATCCTGTGGGTGTGCCCCACTGGTCTTTACTCCTGGAGACAGGCAGCTAATCTCCTTTATCACTTTGCCCTCGCTACATCTGCTTAGTGCTGGAATAGGCAGAGATGCAGTTTTCCATAACTGGTCGGAAAGTTATTTATGATTCACTTAGGCCACTGGCAGGAACACAGCTAGGTTGCCAAATCTCAAATCCTTTCATGGCGTAGAGGATGACTTATACAAGTCAAACTGAAATATAGTGCAGCTCTTTATTGTAATTTACATATTTTCATAATTCACACCTTTTCAAGTTTCATTAGAATTCCCAATGTTATTATTATAGTTTTTCTGAGTTTGGACTGAATTTCCAAAAACATTCTTTCCTTTCTCAGAAATGCTTAGGGTATCTTGACCATTTTATTGTGAAACTACCTATGGAGAATAGAAGGCCCTACTTAAAAAAAGAGAAAACCTTAACATCTTTCTTAGAGGAGGCATGGGTCCACTACAGAAAGTCCTTAAAAGTTCCTCTATAAGCTATTATTAATTACTCCAAGGGCTGATGCCTAACGGAGGAAGTAGCTATGGTAATCTGCCTCATGGAAAGCTCCATTTGCTTTATGAGAAGATGGAGTGTGTCCTGATTCTTAGTAGGAGCCAGCAACATTTTTTAAATTGTTCTTTCTACAGCAAGCATTGCACTAGAGAGTATATTAATTTCTGCTTACTGGCAACACTTTCGCATAGTCCCTAAAAGACACTAATAGAATTGGATGTATCAGTGGAACTAAGCCCAACCAAGTGGTCTTTTCTGGAAACTTACATGAACCTCATTAATCAGTCACATAACCCTTGATACAGCAACAAAGGAGGACCAAAAGATAAGAAAGTTTGTCTTACTCTGGGAAGAAACATTTGAAAGCCAGGAACTGTGAGACCCAGGCTTTGATCTATGGCCCAATTTTCATAGATGAAGGCTGGTGTATATGGTCTTACAATTGCTTTTAGCAGTAAGACACAGTAAGACAGATCAAAGAAGCAGACACAGTTGGATTCCACTGTGTTATATGCTGATCACATCTCCAGTTCTGTATCTATGTATTTATCACTGTGTTAGGCAGAACCGCTTACACTGTGACCCACGAATTTGAGGCACCACTGTCACCTGGGAGTTTACTATGGAAATGTACATTTTTCCAGCTCCCCCTCAGTCTACTGACTCAGCATCACTGGAGTTGGGCTCCAGAAATCTGTATTTTAACAAGCTTTTCAGGTGATTCTTAATGAACAGCTAAGTTTGAGAAGCAGTATTCTAGGGCCTTGTATGTGAACGCATGCGTTTTGAGGATTTTTAATAGATACCGTGGTTTGAATCCTGGTCAAATGAATTTGGAAAATTCGGCGTTAAACAGTGTTAAGCTTTCTTGGGATGAGGGGAGTTTCTACTGGATTTTGCAGAGTTTTTAACACTTTACTGCTCAAAATCATCTACTGGATTTCCAATATGCTTAGAGTCATATTGAAGTTGCTCGTTGTGGTGTGTGTGCCCTGAAGGTGTGTGTGATTTCACCTCCTGTCTTTGTTGTTCTTGCTTACTCCGTGCTACATACACTGGTCTCTTAGCTACACACACTGTTACCTGAAGGCTTCTGCCCTTGCTGTTCCCAGTTGTCTGGAAACTTCAGGTCTGTGCTCAATGTGACTTCTTTGCAGGGACCTTCCCAGGTCATCCCACGAAAAGCCACAGCTCCTGCCACTTCACTCTAGTCCCTTTCCACCATTTCTTCAGAGCCCTCACTTCTCTGACATTTGTGTTATCTGTTGACTGATTTATTGTCTCTTCCACTAGGATGCACACTCTGTGTGCAGTTACAGACATTCAGTGCCTGTAGTGATGCCTAGTGCATTGTATTGTTCATAAGTAAGCAGATGAATGAAGACGGGAAAATGCATGCTAGTGGGTGTTGCAAATTGCAGAGTGGGGAGGAACAGATGGCAGTATGGCAGGATGGCTGCCCAAGGACAGTGCGTGAAAATGTCATGGGGTTGATAGGGCTCTTCAAATGCCTGTGACAACAGGGTCCTGGGAGACTTAGACTATGGTAATTAATTCCCAATCATTGTTTCACCAGTGTCACTGAGGCACAGAGACGAAGTTCACACACACACACACACACACACACACACACACACACATCCCTATAATTAGGGAAAAAGAGGGTCTGTGTTACACAGTATGAAATATTAGCTCCCCAATGAAGTCTTTTCCTCTTTTCTTTATAATTTATCTATGGAAATGGTTTATTGTCTTAGCTTTAGCTTTTACTAGCGGACACTGGCTAACTTTCCCTGTTTAGTACCCAGTTTTCTCTCCTGAAGTTCTGCCTCCAATGTGACATGTCTACTTTGATATTGACTTAACACCTTCAAACTCAATATATTTAAAGCTGAAAGTGCCATAGTCTTTTTTAAACCAAATTATTTGGTCTCTGATATTTGTCTTTCCTGTAAAGGCAGCAATATCCCCTTAGTTCTTGAGGCTGAAAACCACAGAAGCAATGTCCAGACTTCTGTCCTCATGTAAACAGGGTGCTTATGTGTGCTCTTCACGCCCCATGTTTCTCAGACTATCTTTTTCTCATTCTGATATGAGCGCTCATCCTACCACTGGACTATTTCAATAATCTCTGAAATTTTTGACCCTTGCTTTCCATTCATATTGAATATCCCTCAGCCTGACTCTTGAGAGTCAACTTGGCCCCTCCTGCCTGTTTATCTTCCCCACTTCCTCACAAATCTCTCATCTAGCCAAGCTGGACCACTTGTTTTTTTCCTGTTTCTTTTCCTGATTCTTTAGTTCTCATGGCTTTGTTCATTCTTCTCCCCCAACAAGAAGGCTTTTCTTTTTATCTATGTTTATTAACATCCTGTCCATCCTTAAACAACATGAAATACACTCTCTTTCATGAAGGTTTTCTGATATTCTTGGAGAAAATTTGTTAAAAAGAAGCACATATGTGGTGGTTTTCAATTACAGAATACTCATGATTCCGGGTACATTATGTCTCATGATAATTTGTTTCTTTATTTTGTTCCTGCCGTCACATTGAGTCTCTTGAATGCAGGGCCTTTGCTTTACTCACCTCTAAATTGCCACAGTGGCCCAATAGATCTTTATAGACCTGAAACGAAATGCTTGTCCCAAATTATATTTCATAACATCAGTGCTGTGATGTCACACACCAACAATGTTCTCTGGCTGGGGAACTCATTAAATGGTTACATCTAGGGCCTCTGGGAGTGATATGGCCAGTGTTATTAATCATGTGACACAGAAAAGGTGTGAAAGGGTCAAGTGATTGCCAGTGTCATGCAGTAGAGGACCCAGAGCTGTCAAAGCCCCATCTGCAAGCCTGCCTCCAGTTTCTCTTAAGAACTCTTCTACCTGTGGAAAGTAACAGTTGCTGTTCATCCCCTTGTGGGCATCTGATGCTTGTAGTAGGGGTAGCCAGGAGGCTTATGCAATTTGTACTGAAGAGTTCAATTTCCATTCTGAGACTCAGATCTCAGAATGAGGTGTCAGACAGTTGTCTTGCTTGTTTCTAAATTTTGTGGCAAGGGAGCAATCCCAAGAGGGTCTGCCTCCATTCCATCCACCCACTCAGAGTCTCCCCCAAATGTAGGATTCATTTGAATTGAGGGAGCCCTTGCTAATTGGCCTGTTACAAGATGAAGCACCTGAAAGGAGACAAAGCCTCCCTGTTCACATTCTCAGTGGGCAGCAGGGGTCTTTGCAAAACTAGAGAAACTGGAGCCAGGTTATTCATTCTGAAAGTCAGGACAAGATCTTCCACCATTTAGAGCCCCCACCTTAAGATCACAGTATTGCATCCTGGAAGAGACCTGGTCTATTCTCAAATTCTCTAGGTTACTTAGAGACTATTTAGTATCAGTCTGTTTAATAAATCAAGATTACATGTAGACTTTTTTTTCCCTCCAAAGTGATTCAGGTTCTATGTATTAATTTCATTGTTATTTTTTCCAGTTGGCTATGAGGGGGTAGAGAGAGAGTGGGGGAAGAGGAGGGACAGTACTTTTCACAAAACCTTATTCCTGTATTTATGGCTTAAGAAAGCAGGAGAGGCTGTACACAAGCCTGATAACTGAACTTTCAGTTTAGAATTCAGAATTCTGTCCTCTCTGTTGGGCCTTAGCAGTAATTATTGCCCAGGCACATAGTCTTGGAGCGTTCCTTTTTCTCAGACTTGTACACAGTTCTAGGAAGGGTTGTTGCCAAAGCCATCATGTGATTTATTGACCCTCCACTGGGACAAGGGGGAACAGATATAACTTTGTGATTTTATTATAAGGAGGCTGGGTTAATATTTCTAGGTGAAACAAGCTACTATACCGAGTTCAAACATCTGAAGAGGGAGGTTAAGAAACCCTGAGTGTGGGGTGTAAGGATTATTCTGTCCTGGGGCTGTACAGACGTCGTCTGAGGCAGGGAGCAGGAGAAGAAAGGACACATTGTGACCCATTTCCAACACCTCCTGTGTGTAGAGGCGGAAGTTCCTTGCCTGCAGAGGGACACGCGCAGAGGAAAAATAGGAGAGTTACAACATGGCACTTACATAAACAACACCAAACTGGCATAAAACATCTAACAAAATTACACAACTTCAAGCTTGGAATTTTTATACAACATAAATATTAGGGTTCAGCCCATTTAATAATGCTATATAAAATCAAGATTTAAGGCAGTAATGTTCCACATAAACTCTGAAAACAACATTTATGCTTCTTATAAAAGCAGAAAATGATTGCATTCTGTGGGCTTTTCAAAATGATGAATATAATTACATGAAGCAACAAAAATGGATTGAATTAAAAATCCACTAGTTTCAATTTAAGTTGGTTAAGGGGGAAAAATGCAGTTTCTGGCCAAGGACTGAGAAAATTTTACAAGTATAAAAAAAATGTTGTATGCACTGTTAGGCAGTTAAGCAGCCTTCTCCCAACATGTATATGTAGCCCAAGACTCACCAATGAAACATGAGCTGCTGCAAACCTGCTAAGTCCAAGAAACCCTTTAATAGCTTCTACTGTCACATGTAGAGCTGCTATTTTTTTTTTTTCTCCTTGTGAGCATAGGGCCACCGCTGGAATAATCTAGTGACTCCCCTAGTGTCTTTAACATGTCTTGCAATTTAGTCTTCATCAGTGTTGGCTGGTTTGGGCTGGCTACGAAGTAGAGACTTAAAGTCAGCAGAATCCCAATGAACATACACTTTGGGAATTTTTCATTTATTCCTAACTGCCATGTGGCCAATTTGCCGTTCTTTCTCTTATTAAGAGGGAACAGGTCACTGCTGTAGTGAATAGTCCTCCCAACATAGGCTAAACTTGGTTGTCTCTGTGTGCTCATGTTTTGGGGCGAGGGGCCGGGAGTGTGAGCAAAGGGAAGACAAAACAACACTCTCCTGCCCCGAATTCAGCCTGTTGCTAGTTCATATTAAACTGCTAGACAGAACCTAAGTTTTCACTAGTTTCCTCATATGCTAACAGTTTTCCTTACTTGTAGAGGATAGATGTGCATGTTCTGATTTAGATAATAATTTTGTTAGTAAATGACCAGTTTTTGGAAAAACAATATGAAATAGATTGGCTGTTGTTGTAAAATCCACCATTATCCTTTTGCTTTTAAATGAATTATTTTGCATTTAAATATACTATTGTTTGTGCATGCATATTGTGAATGTGCATGCACAAACAGGGTAGTCTAGATTTTTCCTTGCTTGACTAGATCACACTATGGTAGCATCTGGAAAATGAAGGAAGTTGATAGGGACGAGTAGGAGAAAAGGAGCCAGACTACAGCTCGAGTCTACTTGTTGGCATTAAATTCAAAATATGCAAGTGCATGCAGATTGGTATTTAAGTAAATGACACACACACATACACACACACATATATAATATACATATATAAACATATACAGATATATGCTTCTTGAGTAAATTTTATGATATAGTTCGGTTTTCATGAACCATAAACAGCAGATAATAAAGGTGAAGGCTAGTACCTTGTGCAGAGGTATATTGATCTGCTTGAGGAGAGCTTTCACTGCCATCTGGAGCTCGTAGAAGAACAATTGCATGGGGCAGTCAGAAGCATGATCCACACTTTCCATAGATTCAGAGCCAGAAAGCTTTTGGATCCATTCCCACTCCTCTCTGTATGTTGAGTCAAGTTAAAATTAGAAATATAACAAAAGTTCTTAATATAGCTCAGAACTTTCTTGATGTGTATGTCCAGAACCAGGGTATCAAATTCTTGGTGGTTAAAACACAATACAATTCATGGAACTTCAGCTTTTTGCCACCCAGATGGAGTTCAGAATGGGCTATTTCTAGTTAAAGCTTAGTTCCACCTATCCAAGCACCTGTGCCACAGAACAATAGATCTAGTTTGTATGAATAAGTTTGTGAAATTGACGCTTTCAAGTATTTGTAGTAACTTCCTGACTGTCCTCACTTTCTTGTCCTTGCAGATCCTTCCTACGTTCCAAGATCCTACATTTTACCACAGGGGCATTTGCTGGTTAATTCTGCAGTTGGGTAACCGCGGGACTCTGATCCAACTCAGGCAACAAACCACATGGCACATTTCAACCCTGGCCTGTTGTAATCATGGGGATTATTTTGGTTTCATTCCTTTTCCAAAAGATGGAGGAGACTCAGAAACAGGAACACCAGACCATTCCAGTAAAAGGAACCAGCACACACACACACACACACACACACACACACACACACACACACACATCACTGCTTCCTTCCTCCTTCCAGACCAGTCATCTGTGTCTTCATTCTGTGTACTCTGTAGTCCTTCCTGATGAACTTTTCCAGTGTCATACAGAAGGGAAGGGGGGAAGAACGGTGGTGGGAGGAAAGCACACCTGGTTCTTCCTCCAATGGCTGCTCTTCAAAAGGAGCTGGGAAAGATCAAGGTAAATGCCTCTTGGGCAACATTGTTTCCACAGGCATTTTAGCACAAGTCTCTAAACACATGCAGTTGGCCCAGTTTTTCCTTCTGGTTCTGCTCAGAGCAGCAGTGTGCCCTCAAGAGCAAGCTAGAGAGCAAAGCAAAGCCTTCCTTCAGGGGGCAGAGGGTCCCTATCCTGTGAAAACTCTGAAGGCTCTCCCCAAAGGGTCGTAGCAGCCTGGGCTCCATTATGGGTCAGAAGAACGAATTGTGATGTGCGCTCTTAACAACAACAACAACAACAATAACAACAACAACACAAAGCAAATCAAGGCAAACAGACAGATCAGCCAACTAACCCAAACACTACCTCTTTAACAACCCTCTTAGAAAAGTTTCTGTTTTTAAGAGCTCTGTTTCATTTCAAAGTTCATACTGGACAAGACTATGGAAAAATCTATCATTTGTTCCAACAAGAGAAAAAAAAAAATCAAAGTTAAGTTCTCTTGCAATCTGGGCATGCTTTTGGCTCCATAAATAATTGAAATCCTTGAGAACCTGTTTGAGAATGATTTCCTTTTTCCTATCACAAAACCTAAAGGATGACTTTGCTAACCTGGGGTCGGTCTCTATTTAGAAAATAAATCACAAGTAAGAATAGCTCTGCTACTGACTCGTCAGTGTGGGCTCTGGGGATGAAGGGGTGATGGAACTTGCAGAATGAAGGTGGGTACAAGTCTTTTGCTCAAGTCAATCTTGGATCTTTGGCAAGGGAAAATCTGTTGGTATAACAGTTATAAGATGGATTCTAAGCCCATTAATCTAGAAATAGAAGAACATGACCATTGTCAAGTCAAGTCACAAATGAACCATGCAGACTTCTGGAAAGAACTCTGAAGAAACCAAATGTTGATTGTCAAAGTGACCACCAGATGGCAGATGTAAAGTCCAGGTATATTTGATAAATGAGAGGAAATATGGTGGTCAATAAGTTCTCAAAGAGACCACCACCACCACTACCACTGCCATCATAATCATCTCCTTTGTCATCAAGTAATACATAGTAAACCTTGTGACACATGTTAATAAAGTCTTGCCACTGTAGAGACCAAATATCAAAGGACCAATTTTGTTTTGATTAAGCAAATCCATAGATGTAAGTAGAATCTGAGGATCTAGTTTGCATTCTTTGACGCCTAAAGAAATCTGGAAAAATTTTCATTTTATTAAATATACCTTATTTTTATTTTCATATTAAGCATAATTCAGTTCATTATAGTAGACATTCAGAGGCCTACTATTAGGGTTAGTTGTAAAATTGAACCAGATTACCAAGATTGGGCAACTTTCACAAAGTTAACAGTAATTCACCAAATTCCAAACCATAGAACAATTTTTCAGAAGTTTGGGACGTGTTACTTTTTTTCTTTGTAGTGAACCATCAGGCATGGAGGAAACATGCAAAGCCTTAATGCCAGAGAGTTAGGAGTAGGTAGAATGAAAGCATGGTGGGCGGTGGAGGCACCTTCAAGATCAGGGAGAATCTCAAGCTCTACCAGATGACATCACATTGGCGATATGAAAAGAAAAGAGAAGAAAGAACATGACTGCTTTCAGTCGTGAAGAAAAATACTGGGAACAGCAGTGTGGAAAGTGAAGGTCACCTGCTCCTTAAGCAGTTGGGCATCAGTGGTTGCATGAGTGATGCAGGACAGTGAGGGAGCAGCAGTGTACTGGAGAGGGTTTGCTTTTCCCAGCTGACCTTATCCCAGGTGCTAAGATTCCATTGTGCTATGGGACATCTCACCAGACAAACTGCACTGGTAGGTGACACTCCACTTCCCTTTGGGCACCAGACTAGTTACTTGAGTCCTTGTCACTTCACAAGGAAAATCTCGGCTTCTGAACACCTACCTGGAAATGTTATTGTTTTCTCGGATCTTCACATGGCAGAGAATGTTCGGCAACTTTTGTGTTACGAGAACTTTGATCTGATCCACAGAGCTACATAGCTTTAGATAACCTAGATATAATCCAGGAGAGAGACGCTGATGACTCCTTTTGTGATAGGAAAGAATATCCTGTAGAGTGAAGAAAAAAAAATGAAGGAAAACAGTCACCTCCCAAGGTGCTCTCTAAACCTCTTCTTTAAGCTGTGTCTGTCATGAAGAAAAGGAGCTATGACTGACAAGAAACCTCAGGTACCACCATGAGAAGTGGGGACGAGTTGGGTTTGCAGCTAGTCTTACCTTTAGGAGAATTCCTCTCCAAGTCAGGTAATCAGTCTTAAATGTATATTTGAATGTCTATTTTCCTCAGATTTCTATGCCAAGGGTAAGTTTGTGGGTTGTGATTGAGAGTAGGCTTCTGGTGGTGGAGACAGATAATAGGGAAAGAAGTCACAATTTCTCTCCTTGGAGAGGTTATAGTTTAGCTGAGAGAAAACAGACATTAAACAGATACTTAAAATGAAAAAGTCTACTTTAAATAAAACCATTTAAAATCAAAGTAGAATCTAAGTAGTACATAGATTTTTTAAAAAGGTGGATTCTTTAAGCTCCTAAATGTTAAAACAAAAAGATAACCCAGATGCTCTTTTATCTCTCTCTCTCTCTCTCTCTCTCTCTCTCTCTCTCTCGTGTGTGTGTTTGAGACAGGGTCTCACTATGTAGCATTGGCCTGGATCTTGCTATATAAACCAGGCTGGCCTTGAACTGACAGAGACCTGCCTCTGCTTTCAAGTTGCTGGGATTAAAGCCATGCACTGCCAGGCCCCACCCAGGGCTCATTACTTTTTTTTATCTTTACCTTTTAAGTTGTTTTTATAATCAAAGAAGAGTGAAGAAAAAATGAAGAAAGTGTTGGCTCTCTTTGAGCTTAGTTCTTTCTACTTCGTTTTATGGTAGCTGATGTCACTTCTTGTGTTTGACTTTCATAGTGTCATTTTGAAGAAAATAATTTTCACACAAATATTTAAAGTCTTTGTATTTTTTTCCTAGAATCTTTTAAAGTGTTGATATTCAAGTAATGTCCTTATAAAGATCCTGTTCATTTTATGCTCTTTAGTCATTAACTGGCTTACTATTTCTAGATTCTCAAGGGTCAATGACTTTGTGTAGGAATTCTTTGTGTAAGAATTCTTTTTTTTTTTTTACAAGTTTTAAAAATTTCTCTCAATGGTTTTGCATTGAATTTACTTTATATGGTCACATCAAACATTCCATAGGCTGCTAAGACTGGATGAAATTGTTGGTACAATATGATATGTCAACCAAGTTAAGCACAGAGAAATGGCTGAATTGGGATTTTGTTTTTACTAGTAATAAGTTCTCAAGTGAACTTTTTGTGTTGATTTTTGCCTCTCAGTATACCTGCAGAACCTCAGATAATAAATTGAAAACAGGTATCCTCTCCTCCTCCACTCCCTGTGTTAGTAGGGCTTATCTACCAAATAATTAAGCCTGTGGATAGTAGGGTTTGGCAAACAAAGTGAGAAGTGATAAGTCAGGTAGCTGATTATAAAGTAATGTTTCCTGTGGCTGCAGTTTAACTGGTTTTCAAATAGGATAGAATAACCAAAAGTAAATTTCAAATGTATCGCCACAAAAAATAAGTAAATGAGATGATAGATATGCTAATTAGCTCAATTTAATAATTCTACATTGTATTCATGTATGAAAACATCACTTTGTACTCCATAAAAGTTTATAGCTTTACAATTAAAAATAATATTAATGAAGATGAGTAAATAACTTTATTATTTTATTTTATGTGCATGAGTGTTTTGTCTGCATGTATGTAAGTGCACCTGTGCCATGCAATGCCCACAGAGGTCAGTAGAGGGCACTGGATCCTCTGGAACTGGAGTTACACATGGTTGTTAGCCACCATGTGGGTGCTGGGAACTGAACCCAGGTCTTCTGCAAGAGCAGTCAGTGCTCTTAACTGCTGGGCCATCTCTCCAGCCCCTGAGTAAATAATTTTTGAAGAGTAAAATAAAGAAAACCAACTTAATGTTGGGAAGATAAGAATTAAAACCAAAACACCTGAACTTGTACAGAAATCTTTACAGAAGAGAAAAGAATGAGGCTTTCCTGGACTGTCTGACTTTGAAGGAAGGAACCCCCCCTCTGTAGAATTAACGATTTGCAGCATACTCTGAATCATGTCCTCTGTCTTATCCTTTATCACACACATGCTGAGTTCTTGTGAGGTGCCAGGCACTGTGAGGAACACTGAGGCTTCGGGTAAACCTGATGTGATGCCTCCTCTATGGAGGCCAAGAAAAACAGGTGAGTAAACAGATGGTTGCAATATACTGACTTCAGTTTGTGATTAAGGCAGTGGAAGCACATGTTAGAAAGAGTACTTGACAGGTTTCTTCCTTTTCTGTTTTCTTTGTGCAATACCCCAGTCAAACCCAGAACCTTGTGTATACTAGGGTGCTCTGCCACTGAACTACACCCCAGTCTCTGTTCTCTTTTTGAACTAAACTATGACATTAATGGTACGACTGTGCTTCCTTGAAATTGCTTTGTGCTGTTTCTCACCCAGGAGTATTTGTGTTTAGATTAGTTCACAGTGTACAGGTCAGAGCTCTAACGCAGAATGGGAGAGGAGGGACAAGCGAAGAATGGTCACAACTGGGAGGAAGGTCAGAGGATGCACAGAAAAGCAAAGTCTAAAAAATCCTTTAAAAGGCATTTGGCTGAGAATAAAAGAGAAAAAAAAATCTTATTGCAGCCATAAGATAAATTTTGGAGGTGGGGGTCAGAACTGACCACAAGAAAGATTATTAATATAGGATGGTAAGGCTGAACTTAGTAGTGTTTCTCTCATGTTTGTTTAGAACAGATCATTGGTGGGTGAGTAGTTGATTGGAAGATGTTCAGCCAAGGTTAGTGTTTTGGGAAATGAACAGAAAATCAAAGGGAGAATAAATGGTTAACGTGGGAAGGAAAAATAGAAGTACCCAGATCAGCAGAGTCTGCTGATATATACCCTAGGGGTATAAGCAGATGTGGCTGCAGACCCATAGGCCATTATTTTTGAGATATCACAAACCGGAAAAGTCCCTAAAGACTGGAAAAGGACAAATATGCCTGTCTTTGCAACAGAAAGGGAAGCACACAGGATGACTCTGGTAATTAAAGACCCCTATGTATTGATCTTTGGAAGAAAACGAGAAAGAACCATCACACAATCAATCTGTAGTTCTCCAGGAAATCCTGAGGCACAGAAGAGGAATCAGTATGGTTTTGTGAGGAGAAAATCATATAGACAACTTTAATTTCTAATAGCAACAAAATAGGATCTGCAGACCAGGGTGAAGTCTCGGGTGTAATCTGTTTCACTGGATAATTTAGGAAAAGCAGAATCTTGATCACATTACTTTAACAAGCTCAATAGCTAGGTTGAAAATTTGTGGATAATGAAGATGGTATGGGAATAGTAGGCAGACTGAGTGATAGCCCAGTAGGGAGGTCCTGAGGGCCAGTATTTTCAGCTCATTTATTGACATTCCGGACAAAGCAAATCAAGGATGTGTGTATCAAATTTGTGGGTCTGAAATTTGGTGTGGTTTGAATTTTCTGGAAAATAGTAATAAAGCTATAAATGACCCAGTGCATTGGAAAAATAAGCCTATCATAATTAGGGTTGAAACGTAATAAGAAAATATGCTTGTAAAGACTCAAACCCAAGAGTACAAATATAGGATGGGTTAGGGTGTCAGAGAAAAACATGTGGGGGTCAGAACTGACCACAAGTAGAATGTGAGGTAGGAACATACTGTGGTTACGTAAAAACCAACCCCACTCTCAGATGGAGTAATTCGCTCTTTCATTCAATTTTTTAGAAGACTATTACGGAGCGTTTACTATGTATTTTTGTGTCTTTACATAGTCATTTATCCTTCATTAGTCAGAATGTTTTTGGAGCCTGAAAAATTAATGAGAAGAGAAAGAAGTTGTCTCATTCACATAATCTAAAGTATTCTAGTAAAGCCTACTACCAAACTGAATGCTTATCACCCGCTTTAACCTCTCACTTACATTTCCAGCCTCCACCTTCCATTATTACAGCCCTTTGTCCCCCCTGTCTCCAGACAGAATGAATTGCTCTTTCTTCCCCCACAGGTATCCCAGTTACTTGTTCTTGTTTTTGTTTTTGTAGTACTGAGCACTGAACCTTGGACTGGACTATACTAAGCAACTGCTGTACCATTGAGCTATCCCCAGCCCTCTTTTCACTTTGGTTTTGAGACAGGGTCGTAGTAACTTGCCAGGCTGGCTTTGAACTCACTGTAACCCAGGCAAGACTTGAACTTGGGATCCTCCTGCCTTAGCCAGAGTAGCTGGAATTACAGGCTTGCATCACCACGTCCAGCTCTCTGTTTTTGGATTGTTTGTTGGATCATGAATTCATTCACTCTACCAACTTTTACTGAACACCTACTTATGCATCGGGCATTATTATGCTAGGTTATTGATAACACTGAGATGAATAAGACATAAATTCCTTTTGTGGAACTTACATTCCAGTGTGAGGGAGAAAGATGTAAGGCCGTTTTTCTAACCTGCTTAAAGTCCTTATAAAGACTGTGTCAAGCCCATGTCAACTCAAGGGATGGTGAGAGCTGCTCTTCCAGCTCCTCCCTCACTTCTCTGCCACGAGTCTCATTTAAGTCCATCTCTGTAGTCCCTCCCTCCTTCTCTCCTTCCCTCCTTCTCTCCCTCCTTCCTTCTCTCCCTCCCTCCCTTGTCTGACTCCCTTTTCTCTACCTGATAAACATAAGTTTCCCCTCATAGCTCAGCCAAATGCCACCTCTTCTGCAATGCCTTCCCTGATATTTCCAGGCAGAATTAATAGTAGCTTTGTGTATGTACCCATAGTATGCTGTTTGTACTGCTATCGGACTCTGGTTTAATTCTGCCTTCTATTACCTTGATTTGTTTACAGATCTGTCTCCCTCCCTTGACTGAACTCCTTGAGGGCAAGGACCTTGACTTATTCGTTTGATTTTCCTGTAGCACCTAGCCTGGCACCTAGTTGGTGTTACAAAACAAATGTCTCTTAAATA